AATTCTAATCCCAGAATAAAATTTATGAACCCATCTAGTCACAGACCCAAACACAAGTAAGTAACTTTCTTCAGTGGGGACCAGTCTCTTTAAAATTTAGAACTTGGAATAGTTAGATATAATACATATTTCCTCTAAGCAGCTGAATCTTAGAAAAAGACAATGCAAGGGACAGAGTTATACATATCCAATTCTTCACCCTAACATATAAACAAGATAAAGTCACTCCTCCTCCTTTTGAAAGGAGTGGATGATGCAACAGAGAGAAAGATCAAGAGTGTTCAAGACATTGATGACTTTACTCATGAAATATGAATTCAAAAAAAGAGGTTTCCACAGTGGGATGGATTTCCACAATAGTGGCAACCTTGTCAGTTGCCCCTGATGTGTTTTCTAGTCTACAGGCTACAGAGAAGCAACAATCTTCATTTAAAAACTGTTGCGATTCTTGGGGCAGAGATCCTGGTTGTACCTGGGAGACCGATTTCCTATGCCCCCCCAAAAATTTGAAGAGCCTTACAAAAATGCACAAAATAAAATATAAGAAATAAAGAAGAAACTAGGGAAATAGGAAACCAAAGGTGAAATAATTAGATTAGAATGCTGCACAATCATTAAGGGGAGACCCAAATTTTACTCTGAGTTTTTCTAGCACCAAACGCAAAATAAAAATATAATAAGTTTTTTCATTTTACATTTCCAATGTATAAAGTTCATTTGTTGCTCCCTTCCTCTGTCCAAAAGATGCTTTTCTCATGAATTTTGGTTAATGGGATATGGAGGAGGAAGACATAGGACTATAAGACAGAAGAAAAAAATGAAGTGGGTGTGGCTAAAAAGAGAGCAACACTCACCAAGAAAACTCTGATGGTCATCACCCTGGTGCCACAGAGATGAAAGAGCCAACTGACCTCTGGGAAGAGGTGCATCTTTGTTTAATTTCCTGTAAGCTTCTGTCTTCTCTTTTGGGGAAAACTAGTAAACAATAATTACTTTCCAGTCTGCAGGGCTCAGAGGTCTGAGGTTACTATTCTTTCCTTTTTGCTAGTATAAGCTCATTGGAAATTTGGTCCTTGACCATATAAAACCACTTTGAAATAAATGTAAATGAAATGTTTTAGAACATTTTTTTTTTATTATTTATTTTTTTATCCTTACCTGAGGACACTTTTACATTTATCTTCAGATAGAGAGGGAGGGAGAGAGGGAGAGAGAAACATCGATGTGAGAGAGAAATATCGACTGGTTGCCACCCACACGACCGCAATTGGGGCCGGGATGAACTGCAACTGAGGTACGTGCCCTTAGCGGGAACCGAACCAGGTCTCTCTGGTCCACGGGTTGATGCTCTAACCATTGAACCAAACTGGCCAGGGCTTTAGAATAGTTTATAGCAAACTTAGAAATCCTTCATTTCCTCCTTCACTAAGCTAGTGAAAATATACCAAAAAATAAACTAATATATGGTCTCTTTCTGTGTTAATACCTAATGAGAGTGTATCACTGGTTTTGATTTTGATTCTAGCTATTTTCTAACTCTCTCTCTCTCTCTCTCTCTCTCTCTCTCACACACACACACACTCACACACACACACACACACACGCTTGACTGCTGCTGGTAGAACAACCTCCTGGTCCAAGTTCACTCTGATATCAATGCTCACCAGTTAAAGCCACCAGGAATAGACTCGGAGCCCAAAATATTAGACTTATTAAGCTTGCTGCAGGAGAGGAGAGAGGACATCACAGGGATTTTAGTACATGTTTAGTGATTAAGAAGAATCAAGGAAGTTGAAGTCTGTCTGGATAGTATTGTCTCAAAGCAAGAGTAATTTGAAACATGGAAATCAATGATTTCTTATCTAAGAAACAGAATCAACGGAGTAATGCTAGAGTTATGAATGAGAAGCAGTGCTCACTTAATGTTAACCAGGAATGGTATTATTTTAATGGTAACATGGTATTATTTTAATAGAATGTTATCCATTCTATAAAGGAGAAATTCAAGTAGGTATTCATGATCACTTTCATAATCTAAATAAAACCTGAAATATAGGACAAGTGCCTTTATTTACTTGAATTTATCCACTTGATCATGAGTATTAAAAGGTGATATTCTAGCGCTGGTCAGTGTGGCTCAATTGGTTAGAGCATCGTCCAGTGCACGGAAGGTTCCCAGATTCGATTCAGTCAGTGCACATACCCAGGTCATGAGTTTAATCCCCGGTCGGGTGCTTATGGGAGGTAACTAATTGATGTTTCTCTCTTACATCAATGTTTCTCTCTCTCTCACTCTCACTCTCCCTCCCACCCCCACCCCGCCTTCCTCTCTTTCTAGAATCAGGAAAAAGTATTTCCTGATTGAATTCTTACTGAATTATGTAGCTTTCTTTTCCACTAATATTAACCAAAAAAATAAAAACTCCATTTGGTAAAAACTTTCCGGAGCAGAAAATCAGCCCAAAAAGAGCTAAAAGTCTGTGTACATTCCAGTTGGCTCTATTGTGAACTCCTAGCAAAGGTAGTTGCTGATCCATGTAAAAGGTTTGACTTGGTACAAAACTGACAAGCTAAATTCGAGAATTTGTCCTTCCTCTTTGCAAGCTCCCTTGGTCAGTTTTATTTCTAAACAAAGATAAGGTCATCACAATTTAAGAATTAACTCAAAAACAAAATGAAAAAATATTTGCAAAACCCATCAGCATACACAAGTAATTTATTCAGTATGGCTTCATTTAGCACAAGTTGGTCAAAATCAATGATATATTGGTAAGTAGTAATTGTTGGAGAAATGGCATAAGAATTAACACTCTAAACAAATGAGTCTATAACACTGTCTTCTCTAACCAACAGCCATCTTGGGCTGAATGAGTTAGACTCTTAATTTCATGTGACTGAAAAATAATAAACACAAACTGGAGATTAAAAAGAATTGATTGCAGCATGAAGTAAAAAAAAGTCCAGGGAAGACCTGGCATCGGGTAGGGTTTTCTCTCTGTCAAACCCACATCCTGTCAGTTGGATTCATTTTCAGAAAGGCTTCCAGAACCTACATACTTTCCATACTCTCAGGTTTTGGGTCCTGTGGGAAAAATAATATACTCTTTCCTCAGAAGTCCCCAAACAATCTTATTGACTCTATTTGAAATATGAGACATTGAAGCATTGCTAAACGTCCCCCATGGTCCCAATCACTTTACATCTTTGTGCCTGAACTAGTAATAGAGCCTATTGCAATGCATATGGACTGAGAGTGAGAAATGAGTGGTTCCCTAGAGTGAAACTGAAGTACTGTTACTAAAAATAGGGTAAATAGATATGGAATGTAAAATATATTGATAATAATTTTGCAAGATGTTTTCTACCACCAGATAAAATGTATGAGATAAAATGTACTGCCTATCTCATCTACAGGGTAGTTGTCATTTCTGCAGCTGTAAAGACATATAACGCTCTAGATACTTATCTCAGAGAAAGAAAAACGTGTGTCCGTGCAAAGACCTGTACATGAATGTTTATTACAGCTCATTTATAATATATTAAAACTGGATCCAACTCAATCCCCATTAATAAATGAATGAATAAACAAATTATGGCATATTCACACAATGAAATACCACTCAGCAATTAAAATGAATTATTAATGCATGCAACAATGTGGATGAATCTGAAGATTATTATGCTGAGTGAAGAAAGCTAGCCCAGACAAAGGACACCCTCAATGATTCTACTTACATAAAATTCTAGAAAATGCAAACTAATCTATGATGACAGAAAACAAATCAAGATTAGCGATTACCTAGGGAATCAGGGTAGTGGGGGTCAAGGCAGGGAGGGTACGATGGAAAGATTAAAAAGCTGCACAAGGAAATGTTGGGGATACTTGATATGTTTATTATCTTGATCAAGAATTGGCATTTTTTGCTGTGAAGGGCAAGATAACAAATATTTTGAGTGTTGTGGGCCATATGATCTCAGTTGCAACTACTCAGCTCTGCCATTGCATCATTGAAACAGCTTTGATTGGAAGTAGTTAATTGGTGTGAGTGTGTTCCAATAAAACTATTTACAAGAACAGGCAGCAACCCAACTGGTCTGGAAGCCATCATTTGCCAATCCCTGATCTTGATTATGGTGATGGTTTCACAAATGTGTACATATGTCAAAACTTATCAAATTGTACACTTTAATTACACAATAAGTAAAGATATTAAATAATAAAAACAAAACAAACAACCTCAGCTTCCTCATCACAGATTGGATAAAGTCTAATCTTTTTATCATGGCATACAAGTCCTCCATGAACTAGCTTCTGTATTCCTCCTCTATCAGGTTCATTGTCATTCCCTGGTGGGGTTTCTCCCCCATTAACTCTGCCAAACACACATCATGCCATTTCAGCTCTGTGCCTTTGTCTGGATTCTCTCTCTGCCTGGAATAACCTACTCCTACCAACTGTAAGAGTCATCTTGTGCATCTAAGTTCTAGGATGCCTTTCTTCTTTTCTTAACCCTTTTAGTCCCGTTGCCTCATCTCTGTGCCCCCATAATAGCCTGCGTGTGTGTGTATGTGTGTGTGCCAACATATATGTATACATATGCATACATATGTATACTTTCTTTCACAGTTACATTGCTTCACAATTTTAACTATATAAATCTGAATTTTTGTGTCTTTAGAATTAAAATGAATTATTATCCAGTGTCTGGATACTTGACTGAGAGCTACCTGTGCCTGGCACATTATAAATATATCAACATGGCACCTATTATCATAACCATTTTATAGGTAAGAAAACTGATAGATAGAGAAATAATGTATTTAACCTATAGGCACATGGCTATAAACAGCCAATCTAGGATCAGAAAATAGTTCTTCAATGGTGAATACCAAATGCTTTCCACTAATCCTTACTTTAAAAAAAAATTATTTGAAGCTTATCTGTATTTCACATTGCTGTCTTTTCCTGACTCAGCCTCTGCTCTTCCTTCGCTGCCTAGATACACCAAAATGAAGACAGCCACCAACATCTATATCTTTAACCTCGCTCTGGCAGATGCCTTGGCGACCAGCACCCTGCCATTCCAGAGCGTCAATTATCTCATGGGAACATGGCCATTTGGAACCATCCTCTGCAAGATAGTCATCTCCATAGATTACTATAACATGTTCACCAGCATATTCACCCTCTGTACCATGAGTGTTGATCGCTACATTGCGGTCTGCCATCCCGTCAAGGCCCTAGATTTCCGTACTCCCCGCAATGCCAAAATCATCAATGTCTGCAACTGGATCCTCTCTTCAGCCATTGGTCTGCCCGTGATGTTCATGGCAACAACAAAGTACAGGAATGGTGAGTGACGCTGCAGGTCTGAGGGACGGACAGTTCAGAGATCGAACTGTGGTGAAGTCACAGGCCAAGTAGAATTTTGTGGAGTGGTCCAATGTCTCAGTCAAATTTTAATTTTAATCATTTTTTTCCTAGAAAAAAATGTCTTTGAATATTTTTAAATAGGAATTTTTCCTTGCAATTGTAAACCCACTAAATATTTCAAAGAGAATATAATCTATTGGTTCTTGACTTCTCTGCACATCATCAAAATGATGAGAAATTAGAGCTGAAACCCAAAAGCATTAAGTGGAGGCTTATTTTATCATTTCAAGCGGCTGCCTACTTAACAAATTTGTCTTTCTATACCTCATATCAGAATAGTAAATGACCAGCCCAGCCAGTGGGCCTCACTGGTTGGGCGTTGATCTATGCACCAAGAGGCTGCCAATTCAATTCCCAGTCAGGGCACATGCCCAGGTTGTGGGCCCAATCCCCAGTGGGGGGCAGGCAGGAGGCGGCCAATCGATGTTCTCTCTCATCAATATTTCTATCTCTCTCTCCCTTCCTTCCTCTCTCTCTCAAATCAATAAAGAAAAAATATTTTTTAAAAAATAATAATAAATGACCCACCAAAAAGCGGAGTGAAAACTTTCATTAGCTGGGACATCCTATAGACTTTGGACATTGATTATATTTTTTATATCACCATAGACCCCATAAAGGATCTAGTTTACAACAGGAGGTCCACAATTGTTCACTGAATAAAAGCTTAATGTGATCAAAGTGGATAGCAAAATTAGATATTTATAAATAAATAAATAAATAAATAAATAAATAAATAAATAAATAAAACACTTTCTGAAATCAGCAGAGAGCTGAGTGTCTCCCACAGTTTCTTTGGATATTTTTCTACTGGCGTGCATACTAATCGCCGTAAGTGAGCTTATGTCAAGGCTATAAATTAGTAAGCAACATGGCAATAATGAAACGTTACTGCTAATTCTTCCTCACAATTTGTTTCCATCTAGGTTCCGTAGACTGTACACTAACATTCTCTCACCCCGCCTGGTACTGGGAAAACCTGCTGAAAATCTGTGTCTTCATCTTTGCCTTCATCATGCCTGTCCTCATCATCACGGTGTGCTATGGACTGATGATCTTACGCCTCAAGAGTGTCCGCATGCTCTCTGGCTCCAAAGAAAAGGACAGGAACCTTCGAAGGATCACCAGAATGGTGCTGGTGGTCGTAGCCGTGTTCATCGTCTGCTGGACCCCCATCCACATTTACGTCATCATCAAAGCCTTGATCACCATCCCAGAAACAACTTTCCAGACGGTTTCCTGGCACTTCTGCATTGCTCTAGGTTACACCAACAGCTGCCTGAACCCCGTCCTCTACGCATTTCTGGACGAAAACTTCAAACGATGCTTCAGGGAGTTCTGTATCCCAACGTCCTCCACCATTGAGCAGCAAAACTCCACTCGAATCCGTCAGAACACAAGAGACCACCCCTCCACGGCCAATACCGTGGATAGGACTAACCATCAGGTATGCAGCTTCTAGAATTGGGTATACTTACTGGGGCTGTATGAAACAGAGCTTTGTACCTATCCAAGATTTCAATCCATTAGGAAGAGACCAGTAACTAGGAGGCTGAGGTTCAGCATGAGGATGGAGGGAGGAGGGGAGCAAGTTTTGATCATTGTGTTGGAGAGGTGATTTGTTTACATATTGAGCTCTGTACATGTCTATGCATTTGTTTAGATGTAGAGATACGCGAACTAGAAATCTGTAACGCCTCTAAAAATCATTATCTTCACAGTCTTTTCTTCTTTTCAAAATGAATAACTTTTAACATATTTTGGGAGTGAACTTGATCCAGGGTTTTCCTCATGGTCCCCAGCAATGTTCTATATTCTCTGCATATCACTCTGATAACCCTGTTACTTCTCCACAGCCAGCCCTTCTCCGGTTCTGTGGTTAAAGAGACAGGGTCAGCACTTTGCTCACTCTGGTGACAGGTACAAGATGTTCCCCGCAAATCGGTGTCACAGCAAAAGAGAAAAGGAAAAGCCAAATGAGGAAAGATGATTTGTTGGAAGATATATTCCTAGGAGCAGAAGGTGATGGCCTGCATGAAAGATTCAAGATGTACACACAATGTTATAATTAAGTGAGAAGTCAAAAAGGAGGAAAGAGAAAAATCCATCTCTAAGTTCATCCTGGCTTATGAAGCTACTGGTTTGCAAAATTTGGAGTCTGACCTTTAAAGTAAATCCGATAGATCACTTAATTATGGATATTAAGTTAAGTAAGTACGTTTTCAAATAAGGGTGCCAGCTTCCCAAACTCACAGCTTGTGTGGTATTTTAACTCAGGACTCAAATTCAAACTTCCTGTGCGGTAAATTCTTGAGTCAGAAGCTTAGATACAGCTCCCAGGGTCAGGGGTGGGTCTGTGGGGACAGATGGGTCCGTAACAGCGACTGGAAGGGGAATTCTGGGAGAGTCCGCTGCTTCCTCTCTGCTGTGTCTCCCAAATACCCCACCTCGCTGTCCCCTGTTAGCTCCGGGCAGCCACCCAGCCGAACCCAGACTCACCCTTTCTAATTGACCACAGGACTAATGCAATTCCGTGGCCCAGAGGGGTTATTAATCCTCATACCCCTCATATTAAATAATGTTAAAATGAACACAGGATCCGGCACCCCTGGAGAGTATGAGATAATGATGGCAGACCCACTTCCAACCAAATGGAAATTAACTTATTATGTCTCACTTCTAAATGCATCTCAGAAATAAAAGCCAGAAAGAAATGGTTTCCTACCCTGCTTCTTTTCTCTATTTTTTTTTTCCCACATCAAGGCCTTTAAACCTGTCCCTTTTACTAAGAGATCTCCTTTTCAGCAGCTATCAAAAGCTTGTGAGTAACTCTAAAAAGGCAGGGATTTAAATAGACTTTCTTCAACCTGAGGATAACATATTTAAGAATGCAATTTAAATGTCTCAGTCCTAAACTAAATTTAAAATATATTGCCTTTGCAGCAAAATACTTCCACTGGAGGTCACGATGGCCATTATAAAATACTGGTTCTTTTTCCTTCAGTGCCCACCCACATCTTCCCTCTGCTTTCGGCACTTTAGAGTGTGGCTGTCGGCAGTATACCCTGGACCACTGCTGTGGCCTCTCGTCACCTCTGGTCCTCCCAGCACCCTCCACTCGCCCTGTCCTCCGGGCCATTCAGCCCCCAGCTCCGTGCTGGAGCGTTTCTCCTGACTTCAGCACGACTCTCCTTCAGTTGCCCTTGACAGTGCCCTTGACTCCCTTCCAAATCTAGCACTTTCACATCATTGTGATTCTTGCAAAGCCAGAGAGAAGAGGAAAGAAGCTAATTGGGGAAGCTCTGTTCTAAGTAACAAAAAGGTTTGCGTTAAAGATGCTTCCAATTAGCGCTTATCTCCATTGCTGCTTCCACGAAGCAGCATCCATGTCAGATCCCAGCAGGAGCACATTAGCCCCGGAATTGGCTGCTTTCCCAAAATGCCCAGCTGGGAGAGCCGGACAAAGTAGAGTGGCTTCCAGGAAAAGAGGAATGACACTCTGACATATTTGAAAATTAAGATAAATCAAAGATCCTTTCGCTAATCTCCACTAATATGATCATTAGAATCAAGGCAGTTACACAGACATCTGGAACAATATATCAGCCTTTGGTGATAGTCTCAATTATACATCAAAATAATAAAATTATTTGAAGGAAAAATTGGAGACTTTATGGCTATGTCTGTTGGATGTAGTTGATTCATTGTACAAATTCAGATTGTGACTAACAGGTTGTTTTTGTTTTGTTTTTCAACATCATGAGCCATCATGCTAGGAGACAGAGCTAACTGGATTTGCATTAATTTCTTTAACAGCTTGTTTGAAGTTTACATGGTTGCAGATGTTTATGTCTGCCTGTGTATTTGTGTTTTCTCCAAGAAGTATATTGTACTATATATGTCACATCTCAAGCACATTAGTCAACTTCATATTCTGCAAATCAGATATCCAATATCAAACTTTCCCAGGGTGTCTGTATGCTGACAACTATACACTAAGACCATGTCCATACAGCACGAAGTGAGGTGGAGAGTTGGCAGTTACCAAGGTCATTTGATAAGCCAAATGGGAAAAGTCTGTACCCAAAATAAACTCTGAATCACACTTACATAGTGAAGCTTTTGCTGCAAAACAACTCATTCCAACATTTGGTGGCCTCAAGGAACCATTTTTTAGTTTGAGATTCTATAGATCAGTAATTTGGGCTGAAGCGGGCTGGACAGTTCTTCCAGGCTGAGCTGGGCTCACTCTGTGGTCAGCAGCTGCATCCGCCAGATCAGCTGGCAAGAGCTGATGCGGATCCCCACAGCAAGAATGCCTAGTCCCCACGGCCTCTCCTCCTCCAGCGTGTTAGCCCAGGCTTGTCCACAGGGGGTCACACAGGTCTGAGATTCAAGGGGTGGGAAACAGACTCTTCCTACTGATGGTAGGAGCTGCTGTCACAATGAAAAGGGGTGTGGATACAGGGAGGGAAGGAACTGTGGCCACTTTTGCTAACCATCTCCAGGAGGCGCACGTAGCAGGGGACAGGCAAGCCGCAGCTTCCCGAGGGCATACACCGCCTCTGCCTTCTCATGCCTCCAGTTTCAACCAAGCACAGTGTCTGGCACGTTACAAATTAGTCCAAAAACTATCTGTTAACTGAATGAATAATCAGAGGGCTCACAATATTTCAGAGGATGTGAGAGGTGGTGAGAATGGCCCCGCCTGTGCAACTCATTGACCACCTGAATGACTGTGTAACACTCTGATAGTATTTCAGGCTCACCCTTCCGAACTTAGAAAGTACTCCCAGGAGGGCATTTTCATTTTCTCTTTGCTGATCCTCTGATCAGAAGTTATACTGTTCAAAAACAGCATTTACACTGCTTATTTACACTTGTGCTGTCTCAGTTTTATTTTTAATGAGTGCTATTGAGGAGGAGGCCACGAATTGGATTCAGTGCCCAAAGAGATCTTGCCTTGGCTAAGCAGGAAGAAAACAAAATGCCCTCATGTTCTCTTGTGTATTTCAAGGCTCAGCCACTGCTCCAGCGGTAGTACTCCGTGCCTGGTTTATGTTCGGCGGAGCATCTTCATGGCTACTGGGCTTTCGTTAGTGGACTCAGGCCTAGGCACTCACTTTCCTCGTGCTGAGTGCGGTCTGATTCCTCTGCTGTCACTGCTGGGGTCCATGTTGCTGGAGAACTCTCCCCCCACTCGTTGGATTATTGTTTAAATAGTTGGTGTGAACTATAACCGTAATAATAATGTTATCTGACATTTGTAGCATGGGTTACAGCATAAAGAGCGTTTTCTTGTGCACTAACACCCAGGCTTCCTATAACAACCCTGACGGGTAAACATGAAAAAATAAACGCTCAGGAGGTTAAATGATTAACAATATAAAACCACCAGGAAAAGGCAGAACCCAGATAAACATGGAGCTTCTAGCATTATTCCGAAGCTTGCTTCTGCACTCCCACACAGTGCTATTCTGCACGGAACGATAATTGCATGGTCTCAGCCAGAGGTTCTCACGTTTTCCAATGAGCTCCAGAAAAAGGAAGTGCTGGAGAACTTTTCTAAGCAATTCTGGCTCACTGGGTGGAAGTAGGGCCCAAGAATCTATATTTTGAATAAAACACTAAACTGAAAACTCTGATTTCAACTATGACTTCATCCAAAGACTACCAACGTTTCTGTTTTGTCTAATGTGAATAACCATTTCTGCCAAGCTGGTCGATATAAATTTTTCTATGTAATGTACCCTGTGTTCAGTAAAATAATGTGGTTATTCTTGGACAAAGCCTTAACTTTCTATTCTCTCTAGCATGAGGTCTCATAGGAGGAAGTAATACAATAGCGGGAAATCCAGCTCTGTGGTACTTCCTGCTAACTCCTCATTAAATCAGCAAGTCCCCCTCTAGATCTTCTGGTTACTATTTTTAAAAGCACTTTCTTGACATTTTAATCCAAGCAGCAGGTCAAGAATCAGGAGATACTTTGCATCTGTACTAACTATAAAATGATATCATCACCAGCTAAACTAAAAGCAGAAACCTAATTTTTATAGTCAGTCACCTGACTCAAAAGCTGGAGCTTGATTTTTTATAAGACATCTGGGGAGAGCTAATTCGAGAAGGAAGGCATTTCAATTCCATGAGAAAAACTCAAAATGAGAATAGCTCACAAAATTACAGAGCTGGGCCACATTAATACATATTTTGTGAACAACCAAAATGTCGACTCTTCAATTTGATGGTTAAGGGAATGGTTCCAGTTATGAGTGTGTGGTGTGTGCCTCGCTGCACATGAGTGACCCTAGAGTATATCTAGGTTTAAAATGAAAAATATCTTTCATAAATAGTAGAAGTTGATATGTTTTGATAAATTGACTGGGAGGAAAAAAATATTATTTAATAGAAAATAAGTTTATTCCCAGAAAATATTTGGTGTTAAGACTACTAGTAATAAAAAGTTATTGACCAGTTTCTGCCCAGTATATCCTATCTAGTCATATAAAGTATTAACTATTATTTCTACAGTTGAGAAATCAATGTTTAAGGAATTAACTTGCCCAAGGTCATAGTTAAAAAGTAGTGGCTGAGGAATAAATCCATTTAATTTGATTTTGACTCAGGCTCTTAATCAATGTTCCCTACTCTCCCTCTGGTCTGATTTTTACTCTTCTCAGTGGTGGTTCTGTGAACCAAATATTAGCCTTTTTTCTCTTGACAATGAGTGCCATACAGTCTTTATGTAGGTTTGTTAGATGTATTCAAAGATAATTTATTGTATCTGTGTGTAAAGATAAGCATTAAAATAGTTTTGTGAATAGCATGAGAAATTAAAAATTTAATAAGTAGGATCTCAGTATTGTTATATGACCTCAGATAATTTGAACTAAAATCTTTTGACATCATTAAAGTCGTATTGACTCTCATTGAATGATAACATTTGGTTTTCCACAAGCTCCAAGATTTTATTCATATCAGAGAGGTTCATTTGATAAGTTGATCTTTGTGATCATGATTGCTATCACATTTATCCTACTTGAGAAGGCAGCTGAGGGGCAGGGGTGTCAGAAGGGAACAGGACAGGGAGTCAGGTGAAGGTTCTAGTTGTCACTCTGTGCCTGACCATGTGATGACACAAATCTTTTCATCTTGCAAAAACTCAGTTTTCTCAACTCTCACATCAATGGATTGAGCCAGAAGATTATTCTGTGTAACACAGTGGACATTGATACATGAATTAACTGGAGAGATTCCTGACTAAATACTCTGATCTTTCACGGAGTCTGAATTGCAATAATTGGGTTAACTTATGTCATTTCTATAGCATTCTCTGGTGCTTGTCATTTCAATTAATAGAACTACTTAACTGGTAAATTGCTATATTATAATTTGTCATAAAAAAAATTCTCATTATTGGGATTTAGTGTTTTAGAAAATGTCAGTCTACATTTTCTACCTTATATAGAATAATCATCAAATATAAATTAAATATAAGCTAGAAATTAATCATAATTGAAAATAATGGCCCTGCCCAGCTGGTGTGCTCAGTGGTTGAGCATCGACCCTGCACCAAGAGGTCACCAGCTAGCTTCCCAGTCAGGGCACATGCCTAGGTTGTGGGCCAAGTCCCCAGTGGAGGGGGTGGTGGTGCAGGAGGCGACCAGTCAGTGTTCTCTCTCATCAATGTTTCTATCTCTCTCCCTCTCTCTCTCTAAAGATTAAAAATAAAAATATATTTTAAAGAAAATAATTGCCCTTTCAGTGTAAGAATGAATATAACAAAAAAATACTTCAGGTTATTTGTCTATATAAAACACTATTTATTAAGAAGGAAAGAAGGAGGAGGGAAGGAAGGAAGGAAGGAAGGAAGGAAGGAAGGAAGGAAGGAAGGAAAGGGGAGGGAGGGAGGGGGAGGGAGGGAAGAGAAATGATCCACCCAGCACACTTTTCATCCAAAATCAGCTACATCCTTCTTACTATTCTTTTTTCTATACAGACATCAGAAATCCCAGGGATACTAGAAATCTATAAAATCTATGAATCCTATCTATTTTCTACATATATATGTGATCCAGAGTCTCAAAATGGTACATCTAAATCCCTTAAAGTGTAAGAAATAAATTATATTTTTCTTGTGATGAAATAGGTACCTCTAAGACATCAGGTAGAAAAACAACAAAGAAAAGCCAACGGGAAAATGACATTAAGAAATAAAAATAGCTTAAGAAAATTCAAATTTTAACAATGATCACAC